CTAAGTTCAGTTGCACAGAAGGCATTGGCTAAATAGGCTCCAGGAAGTGAAGGAATACCAATCGAGATGTTTGAAGAACAAACGGCTGCAACACTGTTATTTCTCACTCATCTATGCCAAGAAATTTAGAAGACAAGTAACCTGGCCAACTGACTGAAAGAGGTTGACTACCTATGCTCATCCCAAAGACATGTGATTGAACAGCATATAGAAATTATCGAACAATATCATTAATATAACATGCAAGTAAAATTTCACTGTAAATAATTCAAAAACAGTTGTAACAGTACATAGACAGGGAACTGCCAGAAATTCAAACAAATTCAAACAGAAGGGGATATGGAATGAGGGGGACACTGCTGATGTCAGATGGATTTTGGCTGATAGCAGAGAATACCAAAAGATGTCTACTTGCTTTATCGACTTTGCAAAGGCATTTAACTGTGTGGATCAAAACAAATTATAGATAACATTGAGAAGAATGGAAATTCCAGAACACTTAATTGTGCTCATGAGGAACCTGTACATCGACCAAGAGCCATTTGTTCAAATAGAATAAGGGCACACTGCATGGTTTAAAATCAGGAACAGAGTGTGTCAGGGTTTTATCATTTCACCATACTTATTCAATTTATGCTGAGCAAATAATCCAAGAAGCTAGACTATATAAAGAAGAATGCAGCATCAGGACTGGAGAAGATTCATTAAAAACCTGTGATATGACACAGTCCTACTTGCTGAAAGTGAAGAGGACCTGAAGCACTTACTGATGAAGATCAAAGACTACAGCCTTCAGTATGGATTCAACATAAAGACTTCCACATAAAGAAACTAGACCTCACAACTGGACCAATAAGCAACTTCGCAATAAATGGAGAAAAGACTGAGCTATCCAAGATTTCATTTTACTTGGATCCACCATCAACGCCCACGGAAGCAGCAGTCAAGAAATCAGATGACATATTGCACTGGGCAAATCTGCTGCAAAAGACCTCTTTAAATTTTTAAAGAGCAAAGATGTCCCTTTAAAAATTAAGGTGCACCTGACCTAAGTCATGGTATTTTGAAATGGCTCATATGTATACAAAAGCTAGACAATGAGTAAGGAAGACCACAGAAGAATTGACGCATTTGAATTTATGGTGTTGGCAAAGAATATTGAATGGCCTTCTAGAAGAACAAACAAATCTGACTTGGATAAAATACAGCCACAATGTTCCTTAGAAGCTAGGATGGCAAGACTTTGCCTCTAATACTCTGGTCATGTTATCAGGAGGGAGTAGTCCCTGGAGAGGGGTATTATGTTTGGCAGAGTGGAAGCGAAAAAAATGAAGACCCTCAACGAGATGGACTGATACAATGGCTGCAACAGTGAGCTTAAACATAGCAATGATTGTGGGAATGGCACAGGACTTGGCAGTGTTTCATTCTGTTGTACATAAGGTCATCATGAGTAAGAATTAACTCGATGGCACCTAACAACAGATCTACTAAAATACTTCATGAACTTCTGATCACAGAAATGAAACAGACACAACTTGATATTACAAAAAATAATTATAACAATTTTTAAAAAATCTTACTAGAAATACAGTATGTTGTTGTTGTTATGTACCATCAAGTCAGACCTGACTCATAGCGACCCCTCCTTGGGTTTCCGAGGCAGTATCACTATGGAAGTAGATTGCCCCATCTTCCTTCCGAGGAGTGGCTGGTGGGTTTGAACTGCCGGTTTTCTGGTTAGCAGTCAAGTGCCTTAGGCACTATGCTACCAGAGCTCCCAGAAATATAGTATAGAAAACAGAAAAATGTACAGCTTGTTAAGTTTTACAAACTAAACACATTCATGGAACTAGCACCCAACTCAAAACAAAGAGTATTACTATCTCTTCTTGTGCCAATTACTAGTCATTACCAACCCCTCCCCACCGAGGATAACCACTATCCTGTTTTCTGTCAACAAAGATTAATGTTGTTGTTGTTGTTAAGCGCTTCTGTTTCTGACTCATAGAGACCCCATGCACAGCAGAACGAAACACTGCCTGATCCCGCGCCAGCCCCACAATCCCTGCTATACTTGAGTCCATCATCGAAGCCACCGTATCAATCCATCTCCTTGAAGGCCTCCCCCTCTTTCGTCGACCTTCCACCCTACCAAGCATGGCATCCTTCTCCAGGGAATGGTCCCTTCTGACAACATGACCAAAATAGGTGAGACGAAGTCTGGCCATTCTTGCTTCCAAGGAGCATTCTGGCTGCACTTCCTCCAGGACAGATCTATTAGTTCTTTTAGCAGTCCATGGTACTTACAGCATTCTTCACCAGCACCACAACTCAAAAGCATCAAGTCTTCTTCGGTCTTCCTTATTCATTGTCCAGCTCTCACATGCATACGAGGTGACTGGAAATATCATGGCTTGTGTCAGACACACCTTAGTCCTCAAGGAGATAACCTTGCTCCTCAGCACCTGAAACAGTTCCTTCGCAGTTGACTTTCCCAATGCTACACGTCATCTAATGTCCTGACTGCTGCTTCCGTTGGCATCGATTGTAGAACCAAGCAATGTGAATTCTTTGACAACCTCAATCTTCTCTCCATTTATTGTGATGCTACAAAGATTAATACTGCCTATTTTTACACTATATATAAATGGAATCATACAGCATGATATTCTTGTGTGTCTGGCATCTTTTGCTCAACACTATGCTTCCTAGATTCATCCATATTGTTGCATATAGTTGTAGTTTATTTGTTCTTATTGCTAGAAGTAGACCATTGGCTAAAAGAACAAAGTTAGAGCATCCATACTACCTGATTTCCAGGCTGACTATAAAACTAAAACAAGACACAGAAGAATCTCATGGAATTAAAAAAGCCAGACACAATAAAGTATACACTATACGATTCTATTTATACAAATCTTAAAACAAAAAACAAATCTAATTTAGAAAAAATGATCAGTGGTTGCCTTGGGCTAGGGGTGGCACTGACTGGGAAGGGGTATATGCAAACATACTGGAATGATAAAAGTATGCCACATCTTGATGTAGCGGTAACTATAATGGTGTTTACATTCATCAAAATTCACTCACATTAAACAATTAAAATGGGTACATTTCATTCTATGTAAATTATACTTTAATAACCCTAATTTCAAAAAATTATTAACATAAAGATTGGAAGAAAAGTCTCTGATTAAATAATAATCATCTTTTAGTATCCCTGATTTTAGATCTTCCTTTTTCTAACAGGTATCTTTTATATTTTCATAACCATTTTTGTAAGATTTTTGTATAGTATAGAATACAAGAATTGGCTTATATACTTTACATGATTCAAAGAAACAGAGCTGAATGGGAACTAAAGAGCTGAACAATCCTTGGGTCCATGGTTTTTCCCCTAGTCCCGAGCACTACGTGTCAGAGCAGAATGACTTTTCTCCTTAGTGTCTGAAATGGAAAGTCAAATTTTAAACACTGCAAGTCTACTCTTAGTGTATATTTCATTAGGAGCTCTGATGATGTAGTGGTTAAAGTATTCAGCTGCTAACAAAAAGGTCAACAGTTCAAACCTACCAGCCAGTCAGTGGAAAAAACAGGAGACAGTCTGCATCTGTAAAGATTTACAGCCTTAGAAATACTAGAGGGCAGTACTACTTTGTTCTAAAGAGCTGCAATGAGTTGGAATTGACTCAATGGCAGTGGTTCAGATTTTTGGTTTCTAGTGTATATGCCAAACTTATGTTGCCAGGATCAATTGTATAATGACAGGGTTACCGTTAAGGTTGCGAAGCATCTCAGAGGAAGTGAGAACCAATGCCAGACATAACCATACTGGCATTTCTACAAATGAGAGAAAAATAAAAGGAAATCTTAAGACTCTAGGCAATATTATACGTTAGGTTAAGCATTATGTTAAAACTGCTATAAGCAGTATCTCGTTTCAATCGGTCTACAAAGAATTAAGCATCCTGGTGGTGATGGTTAAGAACTCAGCTACAAACCAAAAGGTGGGTAGTTTAAACCCATGAGCTGTTCCACAGGAGAAAACACCTGAAGATCTATTCTCATAAAGGTTACAGCCTAGGAGACCCTGTGGGATAGTTTGTACTCTGTCATATAGGGTCACTGTGAGTTGGAATCTATTGATGGCACACAGTAACAATAATACATTTAAGGAAGAGAGTTCCTCTTCACAGATAAAGAAACTGAGACTTACAGAAATGAAATAATTACTTGCTCAAAATCAAACAGGCAGAAGTGGCAAACTGGGAACGAACCTATCTAACTCCAATGTTCCTTACTGTTTTGCCATTTTGTCTCCAATTACACTATTATATAATACCTTTCAGGTTATAAAGAGGCTCAAGTATGTGAGCCTCTACAGATCAAAGAGAACTATAATGGTTTTATTAGAACTGAGGTAGCAAGAAAGCAGTTTCGAGTACATATAAAGCTTTAGATTCTACAAAATGTCACTCCTGTACAGGATAGCTACCCAACATTAACAAGGATTATAGGGATTCAAAGTCTATTGGTTCCAAAAAACTTTCTCTAACTTTATTCCCTCATCTGCTGAAAAGTCCCACAAACTTACTACAAATCAAGTAAAGATATGAAACGGATCTCAGAAAACTTTTTACTGGTAAGAGTTCAGCTGCAGCAGTTCTCTTGACATTCTTTTTGTTGTTTACTTTTCTTACATAATTCTTTTGGATCCTAAAGTTTCATACATTTCTTTAGCTTCTATGCCCAGAGGTTTTGCTAGTATGGCTTTAATTTATTCAAAATAATTTTATTAATTTTTGAAATGCATAGTAATAATATAATAGGAGAGTTGTCATACCAGACTGACTGAAACTATCTATTTTAATGACAAAAGTCTTCACTAACTGGTTACCCTGTTTAGAAATAAGGAAATTATTGGTTTTCACTCAAAAACTAAATTGAAGCATATATTAATTATATTTGTATAAGGAATAATGCAATTTTCATTGTACCTGAAATCACATGCTGTAGTGACTTCTGCTCCTCCACCCAATGCTCGTCCTTGAACCAGTGCAACACTTACTAAAGGAAGTCTATGTATTGAAAAAAAGGGGAAAAAAATGAGTTAGGATTTTTAACTTCAATATTAATTTACAAATGTTATAAAAGAATTTAAAATGCAGCAGAAAATGAAATTACTGCACAGTGTTTATAACAAACACAAGTCAAATCAGTGGAATCCTGAGACGGCACCATGAAGAAAAAGACCAGTATGACTGAAGACAAAGTAATTCATACTATATGCCAACTAAGTTTACCAAAATGCCTCTCCAAATCATTGCATAATTTTAAAACTATAGCCACAATGTAACTGTCTTCCAAATAATGAAACGAAATACGACAGAAGACTGAGCTACAAAACTGTTATTATGAAGGCTCCTATCAAAAATCTTTTCAGTATTCCCTGAAATGATCCATAAGCTAATAAAAAGAATGGTTCTGTGCTAAAAATAAATCTCTTACTTTTCCTGTTAGAAAAAGGCCCATTTTGCAGGCATATGTAAACATTAAAATGTAAATCTAAAATGTGTTATAAAGTAACAAATTTTGTAGGCACTAACCAAAATGCAAAGCTGGAGGCCTAAAGTAATTGAAAAGTTCTCAACACACACTGCTCCCAAATAGAAAGAATTATTTTCTTTTAAAAATGACTTCTATGACTTACATTTCAGTGGTTCTTGTGATTTCTACTTTGTCTACATTTGGAACACAGAAGTGGGAAACTAAGCATCCCAAGCATGTCATAGTTTATAACCTCAAAAGCATGAATGATGGGCCAAATATCAAGTTTTCCCTTTTCTTCTTCACCTAAATCACAAAGTGAATCCATTTTCCTTGTTGTTGTTGTTATGTGCCGTCGAGTCGGCCCCGACTCATAGCGACCCCTCCTTGGGTTTCCGAGGCAGTATCACTACGGAAGTAGGATTG